AGCAGGGGGAGCAGCCGCGCCCTCCCTCGTCCTCGCCAAGCGACGGAGCCTCTTGAAGGGTGGTTCCCCAGATCATTATGCGAAATTGACGGAAAACGAGTTATTTTGTTAGCGATTTCTTTTATTTTCTTTTTTTTTTCCCCCCACTCATGCCTTGCGGTCCCCCCCCTCCTCCTTCCTCATTAGTTAGGCCCAAACTCCCCGCGGTCACAAGCCCCAGCCCGTGTGTGCCGCCACAACGGGCCGGCCGGAAACACAAACCAGAGACCCGCGAGCACACCCGGGCCCGACAGCCGCGGGACGCGGAACCCTTTTTTCCTAGTGAGGGCTAGGAAGGGATGCGGGGGGAAGATAGGTTGCGGTGCGCTGGGAGGGTCGCACATGGCGGCGGTGAGGGGAGCCCCGGTGTCCCTGTAGGGGTGGCGGTTCCTGGGGGTTGCGGCGGGTGCTTTGGGGCCGGGGTCTCGCCCCTGCTGAGGGGGGCTGAGTTTGGAGTTATGGGTGGCTGGCGCCCACCGCACCCTGCTTAGAAAATCCTTAGAAAGGTTTTGTTACGCTTAGTGTCGTGCGCCCAGTCCTATGCTTCAAGATTAAAAAAAAAAGAACAGCGCCTAGACCCTGGCTGCTTACAGCAGCGCAGTGCTTACTGGCACTGGGCAGGAGCAGGGCACGCTACCTAGTGCAAAGCAAAGACGCACCTTTCTTAGAAGGGTCTTTATGGTGGATTTAGGATGGAACGATTTGTTCCGTCATTGGGTATCATGATTGCATTAATCCACAATATAAGCGTTAGTGGACTTTTATTATCTTCCTATAGAAAAACGGAGTGTGCAGCTGTGACACCTTGACTTTTCAACATGGAGAAGAAACAAGTTTCAAAACGCTTATATGTTGGAGGGCTTGGCCATACGGTTTCTAAGGCTGAACTGCAAGAAAGATTTGGCAAGTTTGGGCATGTTTTGGATGCAGAGATTATTACCAGAAAAGATGATCAGGGTAATGGTTTTGCCTCACCCTTTAAAAGTGAACTGTTTTTCAATTTGTAATGTGAAGCAGAATTTTTGCTTCAGAGATGCTTTATTTTCAGTTTTAAAAGAAACACTGAAATTATTTAGAAATTAACTGAATGTTTATCATTGATCAGGGAACCCTACGAAGACTTTCGCTTACATCAGTGTCAGCATTTCTGATGCAGATCTTAGAAAGTGTAAGTACCTTTTCTAATTTTTTTTTTTATTAATTTCTGGTTTTGAGCCAGGTTGCATTACTGATAATGTTGTCAAATCAGGATGTGGTCAAGGTAGACCTTGTTTCATTCTGTTGTCATGTTCATTCTGTTTTCTTCAAGCTGTAGTGTTATGGGAGTTGCTTTGCTGGAGTTTTCAGTAAGTAGATGTAAACAGATTTAAAAATTACTTGGGACTGAGATAAGAGATTTATGAGGTTTTTTCTAACCATTTTATGAAAAGGCCTAGGAAATGTGCTTCAAACACTTTCATCAGTTCCATAAAACATTAGAAGTAACTTGTCATGAGAGGAAACCCAGGAGAAGAGTTACATAAAGCATGCTTTTGTTAAAGGAATTTTATGGGTCCCAAAATAGTTGGATTACAAAACTACTGGCAAGGGTTATAAAGCCATCTGTGTAATGTATAATAGAAAAATGGCAGGTGAAGATACCTAAACCTGTAGAGAGGGATTAGGAAAATGCCCATTTATCTAGGGAATGCTGTTATTAGGAATAGGAAGGGTGAAGTACAAAAGAAGTTAAGGTAGAGAGGAGCCCATCTGACAGTTCAGAGTATATGTATCTGAATTTTGAGGTTTGTAATTGAACTGAACCATACAGACTTGAGTGACTCTTTTGAAGTCAGAACCTGAATTTTTGATGTAGACCTTCTTGTTTAAGATCTGGGTATTAGACTTTTCATATACAAACTTAAATCAGATGAGTAATGGAGTATAAGATCATGCTAAAGAAACTTCAGGCTATGATAGGAGTCATAATTGGGTCTAATGTGTATTTTCTAATATAAAAAAATATTCTTTTCCCATCTCCTTATTTTACAGGCATGTCAATTTTAAATAAATCAAAATGGAAAGGGGGGACACTGCAAATTGAGTTGGCCAAAGAAAGCTTTTTGCATAGGTAAAAATCAGTTTTTAAATGTATGTTGTTGCTACCCTTTTTCTGTTTATCTCATAACATTATGGCTGTGCTTTCATCTGCTGTGCTCTTCCTGATTTTTATAGATATTGGTGGACTGTTGATGATATTAGATACTGCAACACGTTTTACATCATTGTTCTCTTAAAGGTAGCCGATTTGTTAATTCCTTCAGTAGTGAATGGTTACTGTTCTGTGGGAGAGGGTCGCTGCCAACTATAATTTAGCACGCAGGCAGACCTTTTTTCATATATGATGTACTTTTTCATACAGGCTTGCCATGGAGAGGGAGGAAGTAAAACTGCAGAAAGAAAAGCCACATGGAAATGACAAAACTTGTTTGTTAGAATCACTGAAAAAGGCTGGAGTTGTAGACTTTCACATGAAAGCAGTACCAGGTACAGAGGTGCCAGACCATAAGGTATGGTGGGATAGATGTATAGAGAATTAAAATAAAATAACAAACCAGAATTGGGAACAAGCTTATTACATCTAAATTTATGTCAAATCTCCATGCTTTATGTGAAGAAACTCTTATTAAGTGTGACAGTCCAACTGATGAAAAGTAGCCTAAAGGAATACCTTATTTATAGATGTGTAGTATGCTCCTGTCGTTCTTTGTAGTAACTGGAAATAATCTTTATCGTACTGTCCTCACTTGTGTTAAATTAGTAAATGCTTTGTTACTCATTTATGTCGGGAGTATCTTCTTGTCACCCTTAAAAGCACATAAAGAGAATGTGTGTCTTTCATACAGCATATATGTTTTTGATGGCTGGGTTGTCTGGAGCGAATCTCTGTGCTCCAGCACATTCAGGATCATGGTCTACACATGCTTAAAAAAGTAAGATTTAGAATAAAATCATTGAACTTGCAAATTTAAGCAACAAAAAGTATATTTAAGATGAAGTTCTCAAAATTATTTGTTAAGCATAGAATGTTTTTGGAGGGTGATGGGGGATTTTTGATCTTTTTAGTGGGAAAGGGGAAAAGAGCAAAGTAATAAGTGATCCTGTCTATATAGTTACTACTGTTAATTCATAAACTAGAAGTCTTATATTAAAAATAGTGCTTGTGAAGTAAAGAAATTCAATTCTTTATTGTCATTCTTTATTTGCAAGTTATAGAAATTTGGTTGGTTGGTTTTGGTTTGTTCTTTTTTTTGAGAGGGAAGCTGGCTAAGTTGCACAGTACAAACATACCTCACTTAAGAAAGTAAACAAAAAAATAACTAGTCACAGATGGTTGCTTATTAGTGTGTCTGTTGTCCAAGAATATACATCTTGTTTTATTCCAGGGTTACTTCCATTCCTTTTTTGTTAACACTGATTATTTTTCTTTTCTTTTAGAAGTGGGTTGTTGGTAAATTTGGCAGAGTCTTGCCTATCCTGCACCTTAGAAATCAGCAAAAAAAAAAAATATCCTTTTCCTATTGGTTAGGCATAGTTCCCTTCTTTCTTTTGTTATATGGGGAGACATCTGCTTGAAAGTCTTAATATCTCATACTTGGTGTACTGAATCACCTAAGTAAATCTGGCAGTAAGTTTGCATTATTTCAATAGATTTTTTTTGACTGCGAGTCAGTTACTTAAAGGCTTATGGTCATAACATTAAAAAGGACTCTTTATCCTTTCACACGGATTTTAACCTGTTAGTAAAGACTGGAAGGCAGGTTGCGGAAAGAATTGTGGTGGTTTAATTCCTTAACTCAGACTAACATTGTGAAATACGACCCATCAAAATACTGCCATAACCTTAGAAAGCTGGAGCCAGACTTGACACATGTAGTTCCTGTATCCGAGCTTACTTGGCACTTGGAAGGCAGAGGTGACAGCGTAAACAAGAAGGAGCAAGGAGAGATCCCTGCAACTAAGAAGACACCTAAAAAACTGAAGCAACTGGGCAGTGAGGCTCTGAATGGAGCAGCACTTACCTCTTCTGGGTGCCAGTCATGCTCAAAAAACACAAGCTCACCACAGCTAGATCAAAGATCAAAAACCAAACCCAGTGAGAAGTCTGCCTTGCCTCCATCAAAGAGTCATAATAGTAAAATACCAGGGAGAGGTTTATTATCAGATAAAAGCAATGTTTCTGGAATTACAGATCAAAATAGTATGAGTGTTTCTGATAGTGACATTGATTCTGAAGAGGAAATCAGAGCAATGGTGAAGAAAGAGAGAGAAATAGAGAAAGCTGAAAGTGTTGAGACTGAAAGTGATCACTTAGAAATTGTTGGGGATAATTTTGAATTAAAATACAATGGTCACTGGTCCTTAAGCAATCCAGATGCCATTAAGACAGCTACTAAAGGACATTACAGAGAGAAAGAGACTATGGAATGCGATAATGGTTATGATTCAGCAGATACAGATGAAATTATTGCTGACAGTAAAACTCTAGATCTAAGCAGGAAAAGAGCAATTTTAGAAGATTCTAAACGGAGGAAGGTGGAGAATAAAGAAATACTAACTAACAAAAGTTGTGATTTGGTAAATGACTCCTCACTGAAAACTCACAATTTAAAAGAATACATTGAAAAAAAAGGGAAAATGAAAAAATCCAAAATTTCTGCCTTGCAGAGTACAGCAGTTAACAGTACAACGACAAGTGATAGTGAGAGCTCTTATTCAGAGCCTGAGAAAGGGGAGTCTGAAATCAGTTCTGATTATGAATCCATGATGCAAAACTGTTACCGCTTAGACCTTACATTAGATGACTTAAAGGCATTAGCTGCTGATAGCACTGGGACACCAGTAGAAGGATCAGATAATACACA